GCTGGCCGACCCACCTCCGCGCCTCCGCTCCTCGGTTCCGGTTAACTACGTTACCGCTACGCTACCGTATCTCTCGTTCCTCGTTTCAGCTCGCGAAACGATCGGTTTCGGAATCGTGCAAGACGAAATCGGAAGCGGCTTAACCCTAACCGCGCTACTCGCCAGGGACGAAGATAAAGAATGATAACGCGATGGGTAACCGGAGCAATGACTCGTCCGTAGCATGGCCGATATTCGTAATCTCAGTTACATAGCTGTTTCCTTAAAATCTTCCATCGAGATTCGTTTTCGTTTCACGAAATTTCCCGCCACTGATACAGTTTTCACCAGAGAAATCGTTGACAGAACGTAGGCGTTGTAATGGCATTCTGCATCCACATAGCTAGACTTGGTATGCGACAACAGCTGGTGGCCTTCCACCTCTACCACGTTCTTCTACGTCGGTAGCCTGTTCGGGAACGTGGTGTTTGGCTGGATCGCCGACAAATGGGGCAGAAGAACGGCCTTCTTCGCCATCCTCTTCCTCGAAGTCATACTCTCGATCGCCACCAGTTTCAGCCCAAACTACGTCATCTACACGGTGTTGAGGACCGTGAACGGCCTTTTCTTTCCAGCAATCTATCAGATACCTTTTATACTAGGTAAGCGAGCGAGAAGAAGCAATCGAAGCCGGAAGGAAAAACGATTTCGATTTCGATTTCAGCTCTCGAACTGATGGGCCCGAGATACAGAACGTTCGCCGGCATGGTGATTAGCATGTTCTTCGCGTCGGCGATGTCTCTTCTAGCCTTGCTGGTAAAGCATATCGTTCGATTCGATCTCGAACCGTTTGATCGCGAAACGGCGCGATATTTCCTCCTTTCTTTTCTTCTGTTCCGTAGGGTTACCTGCTCAGGCATTGGTTCGCGTTGTCGTTGGCCACCTCGGTCCCTTTTGTTCTCCTCTTCAGCTACTATTGGATCATTCCCGAGTCGCCGCGATGGCTTCTCAGTAAAAACAGAATAGACGAGGCGGAAGTGATCGTTCAGCGTATGGCCAAGATCAACGGTAGGACGGTACCGAATAACTTTCTTAGGAAAATGGAGGTAAGTTCGGAGTCGAGGATGATAGGAGTCGCGGATCGATCGTTGCGATCCTGTTTTCCATTTCAGCTGGAGATTCTGCGGCGGCAAGGTATCTCGTGCAACGGCACCAATTCCGGAGATAGCGAGACGACCGACACGGTGGACAGATCACCCCCGCCTGCGGCCACACCGATGGATCTCATTAGAAACCCAAACATCAGGAAAAAATTCTTCATCCTTGCGTTCGACTGGGTGGCGAACGCGGTAGTGTACAACGGATTGTCGTACAACACGACGAACCTCGGCCTCTCCGATTACCTGGCCTTCTTCATCGGTAAAGCTTGCGCTCTTCTCGAAGCAACCTTGACTAGCGATCGCGTTGCTAGCCGTAAACATGTTTTCGTGTTCACGTCGGTGCTCGCGGTGCTGCACGGTAGCTAGGCTGGTGCATCGTCACGCATACGCGATGCGATCGTTATCGCGACGTTGCGTTGCCTTCGAACGCGACCCATCGAACTAAATTCATTTCTATCTCTCGTCTTATACGTGTTGCAGGTGGCCTGGTCGAGATACCGTCCTACGTGATCACGTGGTACGCCATGGACAGATTGGGCAGAAGATGGGTCTTGTGTTTGACCATGCTTTTAGGTGGAGTCGCCTGCGTTTCCTGCATGTTCGTTCCCGAAGGTACGATTTTCTTCTTTTTACACTAACCGTCTAAGAGACGCGTTTCGAGTACGTATGTGTGTCGCAGCAGACGCCGTATGGGTGACGGTGTCCTTGGCGATGATAGGGAAATTTGGTATCGCGGCGTCGTTCGCCGTTTTCTACGTGTTCGTCGGCGAATTGCTACCAACGGTGCTGAGGTCGCAGGCGATGGGAGTCGCTTCGTTCATCGCGGGTATCGGTTTGCTCGGTTTCCCCTACATCGTTCATCTGGCCGTCTATTCGAGGGTACTTCCGTTGATCATAATGGGTACGCTCAGCGTCGCTGGAGCTCTTACCTCCATCTTTTTGCCCGAGACCTTGAACATTCACCTGCCGCAGACGATCGAGGAGGGTGAACTTTTTGGGGCGGACTTTAAGCTATGGTCCTGTCCAACTTTACCAAAGTCAGTTTCTTTTAACCGCTAGTCTTCAAAGATATAGGGGACTGTGAGACCATTAGAGTTTTACTTTGCAGGAAACGAAACAAGGAGCAGGAGAAATCGGAGTGGATGCCGTTGAGGTACTTGGTGAACGGCAAACCGGGAAATCGTTCGTCACAGACGCAGGACGAACCAGCTGGCCAGGAGGTGGAAAATTCGCATCAGAGTCAATCTTCGAGCGAACCAAGGAAAGAAGAGGGATTTGTGGACGGTGAAGAGAAACGGCCGGACACGACGGTCGTGATCGTCGAACAGAGGAAAACGCAATGAGCGACCGGACTTGGACCGATCAACCGTCCTCTGTATCGTTATCGTTATCGTTCATTTCGGTGGTCACAGTCGCGGTCGCGAACGATTAGTTTTTAGATCTCTCGAGGAAACGTTGCTAAGCAAAAAACCATTGAAGAAGTACAGTGTTTCGCCGTTTCGATTTTCCAATGGTCAACGGACAAAATAGGCGGGTAAAAGAAAGAAGGTGATACGCGGACGATCCGCGAACGTTCCGCGGTCGCTATGGAGAATCGAACGTTCGTTTGTTTCTGTTTGTTCGAGACATTTTCCGAGGCGCCGTTCGCAGCGATACACCTTCGTGTCGAGGAGCCACCACCTCGCCTCGTCCTTCGACGTCCCACCCATCGACGAACCATCTTAACGATTACGTTCGAACACGTTTGTTCGTTCGTTGAAATTTTTACGGTGTTTCCCTTATCTCCGAACCGATCGAAAGATGCGAGAAATCGTGCATATACAAGCTGGACAATGCGGCAACCAGATCGGTGCCAAGGTTAGTGCCATTTTATCGTTGAAAGAACGCGAGTATCATCAACTTGACGGTCTTGTGTAAAGAAAAACGTTTAAAACAGCCAGACTTTTCCTGAATATTTCCTGCCGTTTAGCGCTAGACGCGAATCAGATCGGAGTGACGATCGCGCGCGAACCGACTCAGTGAACGCGTACGAATCAATTTTTATTGTTTCCCACGACAGTTCTGGGAGGTGATTTCGGACGAGCACGGCATCGATCCTACCGGTGACTATCACGGGGATTCGGACCTGCAGGTGGAAAGGATCAACGTGTACTACAATGAAGCGTCCGGTGGCAAATACGTTCCGCGTGCCATCCTCGTCGACTTGGAGCCGGGTACCATGGACTCGGTTCGATCAGGACCGTTCGGGCAGATCTTCAGACCTGACAACTTTGTGTTCGGACAGTCTGGAGCGGGTAACAACTGGGCGAAGGGTCACTATACCGAGGGTGCCGAGTTGGTCGACTCGGTATTGGACGTGGTTAGAAAAGAAGCCGAGAGTTGCGACTGCCTTCAAGGTTTCCAACTAACTCACTCGCTCGGCGGTGGTACCGGTTCCGGTATGGGTACCCTGTTGATCTGCAAGATTCGCGAAGAGTATCCGGACCGAATAATGACTACGTTCTCCGTGGTACCATCTCCGAAGGTATCCGATACCGTGGTCGAGCCTTATAACGCGACCTTGTCCGTGCATCAGCTGGTCGAGAATACCGATCAAGCTTATTGTATCGATAACGAGGCGCTCTACGACATTTGCTTTCGAACCTTGAAACTCACCACTCCCACCTACGGAGATCTGAACCATTTAGTATCGGCCACGATGTCGGGAGTGACGACCTGTCTGAGATTTCCCGGACAGCTGAACGCGGACCTGAGGAAGCTCGCCGTGAACATGGTGCCGTTCCCTCGATTGCACTTCTTCATGCCCGGTTTCGCGCCGCTCACCTCGCGTGGAAGTCAACAGTACAGAGCGTTGACGGTACCGGAACTCACTCAACAGATGTTCGACGCTAAGAACATGATGGCCGCTTGCGATCCTAGACACGGACGATACTTGACCGTCGCCGCTGTGTTTCGCGGACGAATGTCCATGAAAGAGGTCGACGAACAAATGTTGAATATTCAGAACAAGAACAGCTCGTATTTCGTCGAGTGGATCCCGAACAACGTGAAGACGGCCGTCTGCGACATACCACCCCGTGGTCTGAAAATGTCCGCCACCTTTATCGGAAACTCCACCGCCATACAGGAACTGTTCAAGAGAATTTCCGAACAGTTCACGGCTATGTTTAGGAGGAAAGCGTTCCTTCATTGGTACACCGGTGAAGGGATGGACGAGATGGAGTTCACCGAGGCCGAGTCGGACATGAACGATCTGGTGTCGGAGTATCAGCAGTATCAGGAAGCTACCGCGGAGGACGAGGGAGAGTTCGACGAAGAGGAGGAGACGGAGAAGTAAGAGACGCGTTTCTTGTCTCTTCTTCGCCTTCGTCATCCTCCTGGCCCGTGCGAACACGTAAAATAGCGTAAATTTCTCGTGAATTTTTCTATTCATTCTATTATAACGAACGCTCCTCTTCGATTTGTATATCTTTTGTGATCTTTTTACGAATGGTTTTTGATCGATTTTTATATATATATATATATATATATATATTTATATACACCTCTACGTATATTATATACACGCACGCACATACATACACATGTTCGTATAAGATAATACGATATAATACACATACGCATATATACATGTATACATATCTTGTAATTATCTAGAAACGTTGTATTATCTTTGTTGAACATTTAATAGATATTCTTTATGTCTTAAGAGCATGTTTCGAGCAGGTAAAGCACCGCTACCTGTTTCAATATTCTCCATTGAGGCAAGTGTCGGTGACTTTTACGTGGACTCGACGTTATTTGCAGAAAAAAAATCCGAATACCCGGTATATTAACGAGATGACGCACGAAGGAGTTAATTGCAACTGCGATTGATGAAAACGAGGCCTTAATAAAAAATTGCCTACAGCGTATTATCTTCGATGGGCGAGTCGCGTCTATATCGAATCGAATCGATCCTTGTATAAACGTAGATGTACGTTGTTGGCTATTGATTTTGGCTCTTCCGAATTAAAAAATTCTAAATTTCAAGAAAAATTCCAGTCTGTCGAGCGAGGAAACCGATCAGGGTAGAAAAATGAGGGAAATCGTGGTGTTACAAATTGGTCAGTGCGGAAACAACGTAGGAGGAAAGGTAAGGCCTTATACGTTCCGTCTTCTCGATCGAGGTAGCACAATATGAAAGGTGTACGCAACGCACAGAATTCGCTCGCAGTTTTGGGAGGTAATTTCGGACGAGCATGGCTTGAGACAGGACGGAATATTTTGCGGCGAATCGCAGCTTCAGTTGCAACGTTTGAACGTGTACTTCTCGCAAGGACCAGGTATCCTTTCTCTGACTATATATACCGCGTTTTGACACGCGAACAAAACGTGGAAATATTTTCACAGGCGACAGATACGTGCCAAGAGCAGTCCTGGTTGATCTCGACCGTGGAAGTTTGAACGATGTGTTGTCCACTTCGTACGGTCGATTGTTCAATCCTGACAATTTTGTGGCTGGCCACGTAGGGGCAGCAAATAATTGGGCAAAGGGTTACTACACTGAAGGAGCCGAGCTGGCCGAGACGGTGCTGGATCTGACTCGCAAAGAAGCCGAAGCCTGCGATCTGATGCAAGGTTAGGATACGTGGTTACACCTGTAGTATCATGTATTCGGTATTTGGTATTCCGTGTTTGGCATTCGGTGCAGGCATTCAAATGGTTCATTCGCTGGGCGGCGGTACCGGAGCCGGTATGGGTGCGCTGTTGACGAACAAACTGAAGGAAGAGTATCCGGATAGAATTCTAAAGAACTACAGCGTGATACCGTCGCCAACGATGTCGGACGTGGTTGTAGAGCCGTACAACGCGGTACTAGCTCTCGGGAAATCGAAGGATAACGTGGACGAAACCTTCTGCATCGACAATCAAGCTCTTCATCACATCTGCACGCACGTTTTGAAGCTATCCACGCCAACTTTTGGCGACGCTAATCACCTGATATCCGCTTGCATGGCAGGTATCACCACTTGCCTACGATTCCCTGGTCAGTTGAACACCGATCTGAGGAAACTACAGGTCAACCTGGTACCTTATCCGGGCCTCCACTTCTTCGTGCCCGGTTACGCTCCTCTGACCAGTAGGTCAGCCGCGGCTTTCAGAGTACTCTCGGTTCCAGAGTTGACGCAACAATTGTTCGACGCGAATAGCATGCTCGCCGATTGCGATCCTCGCCGGGGCAAGTTCTTCACGGTGGCTGCCATCTTCAGAGGGAGAATGTCGACCAAGGTCAGCAAATCGAACTCGCCCCCCGAGTTCTAGAAAGTCGAGAGAAACGAGCTTGTGCTTTTCCTTTTTTAGCTCGTCGACGAACAGATGCTGAACATACAAAACAAAAACAGTCCCTATTTCATCGAATGGATCCCGAACAACGTTCAAACAGCCATCTGCGACATTCCACCGCGAGGTCTTGCCATGAGCGCCACCATGATATCGAACACCACAGCGATCCAGGAATTGTTCAAGAGGCTGACGAAAGGTTTTAACGATATGTTGAAGAAGAAAGCGTATCTACATTGGTACACGGCCGAGGGGATGGACGAGTCGGAATTCTCCGATTGTCAGAACGGGTTGTACGATCTCATTTCCGAATATCAGCGACACCAGGAGGCACCGGCCGAGACTACCTTCGACTTGGACACGGCGGAATACGAAGAGTAATCGAGGATCAAGGGTAGGAGGAAAAGAAAGAGAACATAGTCGATAAAACATATATTTTTTCAAGGAACAAACTTGCGCTACATTTAAACGCTCGCCACGATTACACGCAGACGATAGATAGATTGGTTTGTCGTGGATACAACATAGAAGATTGATTTTTGGTTTGAGCGCTTTGGCCTTCGGTCGAGTCGCGAGCCGTTGCTCGCAAACCCAGAATATCGGACGCTGGCTGTATTAAATTTTCGTTTCCTAACTTTCGAGCTTCACGCCATCCACCTTATCGCATTGAAAATGGGACGAAACGTAGCAACGAGTGTATCAAACTTCGCGATCGTGAAAAAGAAACGTCACGTATAAAAGTATAAAATGGAAAGCGAGAAAGTGAGAAAGAGATAACGGCCGTTCTCGTTACTACGTTGACAAAGCTGAAAGAGACGAGGAAGAAATATAAAAAAGATAATCGTTCGGCGGTCGTTCACTCTTGATCGCAGGTCTCAAAGTCGTCGGCGCATTCTTCGGCCTCGAAATCTTCCTCGGCGGTGGCTTCTTGATATTGTTGATACTCCGACACCAGATCGTTCATGTTCGACTCGGCTTCCGTGAATTCCATCTCGTCCATACCTTCGCCGGTGTACCAATGCAGAAAAGCTTTCCTCCGGAACATGGCGGTGAACTGTTCGGAAATTCTCTTGAACAGTTCTTGAATGGCGGTCGTGTTTCCGATAAAAGTTGACGACATCTTTAACCCCTTCGGCGGTATATCGCAAACGGCGGTTTTCACGTTGTTCGGTATCCATTCGACGAAGTAAGAGCTGTTCTTGTTCTGAACGCTGAGCATTTGCTCGTCCACTTCCTTCATGGACATTCTACCGCGGAACACGGCGGCGACGGTCAAGTATCGACCGTGTCTGGGGTCGCAGGCGGCCATCATGTTTTTCGCGTCGAACATCTGTTGCGTGAGCTCCGGCACCGAGAGCGCCGAGTATTGTTGCATAGACCTGGAGGTTAGCGGTGCAAAGCCGGGCATGAAGAAATGGAGACGAGGGAAGGGAACCATGTTCACCGCTAATTTTCTCAGGTCGGCGTTCAGTTGGCCGGGAAACCTGAGACAGGTCGTAACGCCGGACATGGTTAGCGAGACCAGATGATTCAGGTCCCCGTAGCTGGGATTCGAAACCTTCAAAGTACGGAAACAGATGTCGTAGAGGGCCTCGTTGTCGATGCAGTAAGTCTCGTCGGTGTTCTCGACCAGCTGATGCACGGACAGAGTGGCGTTGTAAGGCTCCACCACGGTGTCGGACACTTTAGGGGACGGCATCACCGAATACGTGTTCATTATTCTGTCCGGGTACTCTTCACGGATCTTAGAGATGAGTAGAGTCCCCATACCGGAGCCGGTACCACCGCCGAGCGAATGGGTCAGTTGGAAACCTTGGAGACAGTCGCAATTTTCGCATTCCTTTCTGACCACGTCCAGGACAGAGTCCACCAGCTCGGCACCCTCCGTGTAATGTCCCTTCGCCCAGTTGTTGCCTGCTCCGGATTGGCCAAACACGAAATTGTCCGGTCGGAACAATTTCCCGTATGCGCCTGAACGAACCGCGTCCATCGTACCGGGTTCGAGGTCCAGCAGAATCGCCCGGGGTACATACTTTCCTCCGTTCGTGGACGTGGCAACTGAAATAGTTGTTAAAATTCAGCATTCGTAAAAGGAAAAGAAAAAAGAAAAACATGGCAGTAGCGCGTTTCTTCGTGAAGGGTTTGCTAGTGGACTCATCGGTAAGACTCATCGACAAATAATGAGTCAGCTCCCAGGCTATATGTGTGCTTATCCGAATGAATAGTTAGCAGGAAGCCTGCCAGCACGTAAGTAGATACAGTATCGCGAATGATCCCTTCTTGAAATAACCTACGTCTAAAATTTCCTCTAATATACCTTGAAACATTATTTATAGTAACGAATTAGGCATCAAAGTCACAAGTACGTGACGCCGACGGTCAAAGCATAAAATGGGCTCGATGGACATTGTTATTCCGCCGAAAACTTGAGACGTTGCTTGACTCGAGGTCTTTAAATGGTCGACGGAAACGCGTATACGGTTTCGATGGCGCACAACTGGCCGCGCGGTTAGCAAACGAGTCACGAAGTCGCGTTTCCTACGTAATCGTGCTTGGTCGCGAATAATTTCGAGCATCTTCGAGGAGAGTATTAGCCGGTGTGCATAGACGCTAGGAAGAGAAAGGGGCACGCGCGAAACTAGTTCTCAGTCGGGGTAAAAGCGAGGGGTGAACGCACAAAGCGGTTATTTCGGTCGCAAAACGCGTCCTGTCTCTCGTTGTTCCTTTTCTCCCGCGTTCCGCGTATCCTCGCTACTCTCGCGCCTCGTCTATTTTCGAGTACTTGCGCCCCTGCGTCCGCGCTACCCGCACGCACTATGCCAACCAGATTGCGATGCTTATTCGAATATTTCATTCGTTTTTCCTCGATTAAATTAATTATAATAAAAATAATCCTTACCAGAAGCTTCGTTGTAGTAGACGGAGATTCGCTCCAATTGAAGATCGCTGTCTCCGTGATAGATGCCCGATTGATCGATACCGTGCTCCTCAGAGATTACTTCCCAGAACTGTAAAGATAACTGAGGCTATAATAATAGCAAAGAAAAGTGAAAAGACTACTTTGGGACTAATAACTCTCTCCGAGAGAAATCTATAAACAGAAATGTTCGCGGACCCCATCCCTTGGTTCGAGTTAACCCTCCCTTGCGCTCCCTCCTGCGGCCCGTTCCTCTTCTCTATTTATCTTGCCCTTGCTATTTTCTCTCCTTCTATTAATAGTCACCGTAGTCCGTTTCGTCGACTAGGACAACTACGAACCAATCCGATAAGATTCGATCCTTGCCCTGCACGAGTATTTCGAAATAGATGAAATTGTTCTTTCCCATCGCGAGAGTTAGCGTTTTAGCGAGATATCTGGTTAATTAGCGGAGTGGAGCGGTGCGGCTAATTAGGAGGGTTGCCGGTCTTTCTTCCGTTCAATTGCTCGTTGCCAATCCTTCCTTTCTCGGTCAGAAACGAACGATTCTCTTTGTTCTGGATGCAATATACAGCTGGTCCGTCGGCTGTCGTTATTTTCCGCACGAAAGAGTTTCAACCGGGAGAGATCATCCCAGAAAACCGAGCGTCCACGCATCGATGAAGAACGCGAACAATTTCAATCCCCTTGTTCTTTCCTTTTTTCTTAATCGAACATTTCATCTTTATATCGAGAAACGGCTACAACGATTCCAAAGTAACTCGCGATCAGTTTCGAGAAGGTTTATTTTAATCGAAAGCGAGATATTTTCGAAGCTGGAATCAATCGAGGTGAGTGAAACATTGCGGTAGGTAATAGGAGTATACGTTCGTAAAGAGATTCCCGTGATAGCGACAAAAAGAAAGAAAAACTTAACGAAGAAAGGGGAACGTACAGTGGTATCAACGCTTACGCATACTTTCCGAGACCCTTCGCGACGCGACGCTTCTTTAAATTCCATCCGCCGATTGCTCACCGTCCACGCCTTATCTTTAATTCGATTAAAGCGCTGACAATTCGAGATGGAAAAGAACGTGGACGATTCCGTTTATTATTTGACCATTGCAAATCGCGAAACTGTACGAAAACGTCTATCGATCGGAAAAATCATTGGGTCGATCGGAATAGCGCTTTTTTTTCCTAAAGGAAAAGAAAATTCCCTCGGTTGAAAAGTACCACGACCTACCTTCGCACCGATCTGGTTGCCGCATTGTCCAGCCTGCAGATGCACGATTTCTCTCATTCTGAACTTTTCTTTTGTTCGCGACTTCCCTTTTACGATCCTCGAGAATCAAATTATGTCCCAGCGACGGACGTTCTCGATGCGCAGAGGTAAAACTGTTGTGCACTGTGCAAGTGTGCAGCCGAATGTCGCGCAGGAGTGCACGAGCGTGGAGCGGAGCGGAGCGAAACTGACGAGGAAACGCGCACTCGTGTCGCTGTCCTGGCCACGACTCTCGGCCCGCTCTGCTCCTAGGCTGCCACCAGGGGACACAGGCAAGGAGGGAGAAGAGCAAGATTCTCTCCATCCGGCGAGAACGCGTTCGACGAAGAAACGAGGAAAAGGGAGGGCTAACAGCCTTTAGGACTTTACGATGATAACGCGATACCTTAATCACCACACCTACTATGCTCACAACGTAAAGTACATCATTTTTCAACCTGTTTTATTAGCCTCTTAGGGTACCAAGTATCCAAGTGTCAAGGTTGCCTTTTTATCACTGTCTTACTATAGCAAAGATCGACGAGTCATGCTTTTTTCCACCCATGAAATCGATCGACATTCGTTCAACGGGACCCTGACGAATCGAAACGCTCCGAAAGGGTTTCGTCTTCTTTCTACAGGAATAAAAAACAGGATATCCTGTTCAACGAACTTCGATCATAGATCCTAATAACGCGTTTCGCTTCTTTCAGCTATTTTTTCTTGCCTTTCCTAGAGCTGAATTTGCGTGCCACGAATTCCGTGCATTCTCTCGCGGAGAACATTGCTCGGAAACGAAAAAGTCTGTTGAAAAGGAGAAGAGAAGCAAGACCTTTTCGTCTCGTGAGTCACCCGTTGCTTTATTCGCCGCTGGTAGCAAGCGACGTGGTTAGACGAAGAGCTCTCCAGCTGAGACCACGATCCCCTACAGCTTGAAAAACCCTTTTTCTATTATTGTCATTCTTTCCCTATCTCTCGTTCCTGTTTGTCCTGGCAACGAATCGTTGCTTCTTCTTCCCTTAGTTTGCTTTTATAGCGATCCTAACGTTTTACAACTGCCCGCGTTTATCCTTTATCATGTGCATACTCGCGAAAACCGATAATCGATTTCAAGTACATCGACGGAACACCGGTTCTTGTCAATTGATTTTTAAGTAATATATGGAACTCGTTTTCATCCAGACAAGGCAATCTTCGCAATTAGTCTGTCGAGCTGAATCGAATTCGCGAAGCGAGACGCCTTGCGTCGCTACGTATACCCGGACGATGAGTCATACCTTGTGTACCACGGGGTCGTTGTCTGCAGTTTCGGCTGCGAGCTTTCTTCTCTTTTTAACCCGTTTCCCAAACGATTCTTCTTGAGAAAGTAATTTTTTAAATTTTAACGCAATTGCACGTTGCCTTGCGTCTCGATAATTTATCGTGGCCGGCGAGTTGTATACTTACGGGAAACCGGAAGTGGAAGAGTAACGCAGCGTGCAGCGGAAGAGAGAAAAAAGAATAAAGCGATTATTCTGAGACTTGTCGTTTCAGTTAAACTTTGCATCGATGTTGGCGGATAAAACCGAGAGATACGGTGGACAGCCACGATGCTCCAATTCCATCGACTTAACTGTACAATGTTAATCCGTTAGTGAACTCGTGAGACCCCAGAATGGTGGTTAAAATTTTATCGAAATTTTGACTCCAACAAAATCATTGTATCCTTAAATCAAAAACTTCAGATTCTACTCTAATTTCGACCAATTCTTCGACAGCAAGGAATTATAAATTTAACACGCGTAATAAAAAAAAAAGAGATTGTATTCTTTGACGGTCAATAAATGCGGTATCTGCAATTAAGTAATACCATTGTGCTGCTTCGAACATTGAACTAGAGGTCATTTCAATCAGATCGATGATTACATGGTTTCGACAGATGGCGACACGATCTATTTTATTGTTATCGTAGTTAAAAATATTTTTAAACAAAACTATTTGATATTCGATTCCGTTGTGTATTTTTAATTGTTGTTTAATACATAACCAATAAATTATCCTAGTATCTATATTGAGAAATTTGATCGCGAAAGTATTAGGACTGCATTTAGATTGGAGATAGTTAATTGGATGTTCAATTATCATAGCTTGGATTGGTACTGCTTGATCGAATGATCTACTTTATTCAGATCTATTTGCCATGGTATAAAAGTCGGTAGATAAACGGGACAAATATAAATACAAGTACGTCTACAATAATATAGATTTATAAATACAAAGAAACATTTGTTCGAATTGCGGTAGTACTAGTATACGGCCAATAATAAAGGGTGTTCTTATAAAACCGTAAACTTATATGATAATAATTTATTCAAAGATGATGGTGACCGCCAGAGCGGTTTATACACTGAATACAAAGACGCGCCTCGTAAATGGTAATAAATTGATTGAGAAAACGACACAGAAAAAAGGAAGTAGTAAACAAAGTTGAATAAATTTTCGGATTATCTTGACGAGTGTAATATTACTAATGAAAATAAAAAGCGCGTCAGAAGAATCTGTAAAAAAGAAATTAAAAAATGAAGAGGAGAAAGGAAAACGCAGAGTTAAGAAGCAGTACGAGCGAAGAGAGATAAACGGGGGTGGGACGACACGATGGTAAATAGGTCTTTAATTCTCGTCGACCTCGGCTTCCTGTTCCTCGTCGAATTCCGCGTCCTCGTCGGCGGTAGCTTCCTGGTATTGCTGGTACTCCGAAACCAGATCGTTCATGTTCGACTCGGCTTCCGTGAATTCCATCTCGTCCATACCTTCGCCGGTGTACCAATGAAGGAAAGCTTTTCTCCTGAACATGGCTGTGAATTGTTCGGAAATTCTCTTGAACAGCTCCTGGATGGCGGTGGAGTTACCAATGAAGGTGGCGGACATTTTCAGACCGCGGGGTGGTATGTCACAGACGGCCGTCTTCACGTTATTCGGGATCCATTCGACGAAGTACGAGCTGTTCTTATTTTGAATGTTTAACATTTGTTCGTCGACCTCCTTCATAGACATTCGGCCACGGAAAATGGCTGCTACCGTGAGGTACCTTCCGTGCCTGGGATCGCAGGCGGCCATCATGTTCTTCGCGTCGAACATTTGTTGGGTGAGTTCTGGTACGGACAGTGCTCTGTACTGTTGGCTGCCACGAGATGTGAGAGGAGCAAAACCTGGCATAAAGAAGTGAAGACGAGGGAATGGTACCATGTTCACGGCGAGTTTCCTCAAGTCGGCGTTCAACTGGCCAGGGAACCTTAAGCAAGTTGTGACACCGGACATTGTGAGGGAGACGAGATGGTTCAGATCGCCGTAGGTAGGTGTGGACAGTTTCAGAGTGCGGAAGCAGATATCGTAGAGGGCCTCGTTGTCAATGCAGTAAGTTTCGTCTGTGTTTTCTACCAGCTGATGTACGGAAAGCGTTGCATTGTACGGTTCAACGACAGTGTCCGATACCTTAGGGGACGGTACGACCGAGTATGTGTTCATAATTCTGTCAGGGTACTCCTCACGAATTTTGGAGATCAGTAGCGTTCCCATACCGGAACCGGTACCACCGCCGAGCGAGTGAGTTAGTTGGAAACCTTGCAGGCAATCGCAGTTCTCGGCTTCCTTTCTGACTACGTCCAAGACGGAGTCGACCAATTCGGCGCCCTCGGTGTAATGACCCTTTGCCCAGTTGTTACCCGCTCCGGATTGTCCAAACACAAAGTTGTCCGGTCTGAAGATCTGCCCGAACGGTCCTGACCGAACAGAGTCCATAGTGCCCGGCTCCAAGTCGACGAGAATGGCACGTGGAACGTATTTGCCACCGGACGCTTCATTGTAGTACACGTTGATCCTTTCCAATTGAAGATCCGAGTCGCCGTGATACGTGCCAGTTGGGTCGATGCCATGCTCGTCGCTGATAATTTCCCAAAACTGTAAAAAATATTTCTTCCATCAGTTCAATTTACGAAAAAAGTCTCGATCGTTTCGCGATATTATTATCTTATTGTTAGATAAAGACGGAAAGGATTGTACGCGATGCTAAGTCTAGCCGACGCTTTCTCTTCGCCATTACCCTCCTCGCATCCGTTTCCAGTCTTCCGTATTATCGACCGAGCGAACGGTTCGACGACCTCGCCAGTGAATAGCTCGCGTGTAATTAGTCGTAATACGCGCATTCATTATGACCTCACCAGGATGGAACACTTTTTTTTCTCTTTCTGTTGCTTACTTATTTCTCTAAATTGTCTTATCTTTGATATAATAAGTACATAGCTCGAACGTTAATCTATAAAAGGTAGATTAATTATTATCGGACACGGACGAGCGCATAGCATGAAGGTGTAGCGAAGCAACGCGTGGTACAATCAGCCTTCTCTCTACCTAGAGAATGCGCCTACCTCTCCTAACCATAGTTCAAAGACCTTGCAGTGTATTTCTGGAAATCAATGTGGTCTGAAAATACCACAGACTCTGAAGGTGACCATAGATATATCCTATACGAAACAACCTATGTATGTTCATCAGTCTTCATCAATTGAAACGCTGCATCGGAATTGAAATTGGAAATTCAATTTTTCCTTCCATTTTCATAAGTATACAAATTTCATTCAGCTTCTCGGTAAGCGATAGGAAGTTAATAATAATGGCCAGTACACCTACGATAACTGCAACATCCTACATGGAAACAATACGCGTATTAAGCCATGTGACCATATATGAACATCATCGGTGGAAAGCCAAGAGCGACTGTCCAACCTTACTGCACCTCCCACCCATCGACCTGTACACGCAACGTATGTATAATGTCGTACCGAGATGACTCACCAATGTCATCGCTATATATAGAAGTGATGGCAGTAATATCAATCTTGTGCAATTAACATAAGCCAGTACACCCGATTTATGCAATTTGTTTCCATCATTTCTGTTTACCATCATTCGTTCATCCACTTTGTAATCGATTGTTCGTCTAACCTTACTGAACATAGCTGCATTCGAGAATTTCAAATAAACCTACCTACACCGAAGGATTGAAAGTGAATCGATTTCGTTCGTGTCTCAAATTTTAGATAAGACCAGCGATCACTTGGCTATATTTGGAGGAACGTTGACAATACAACTAGAAACTGACTGACCGACCGAGCAGCCGGCGGAAAATGGCGAAAGGATATCTCCTTTTTTAGTTGGAAATGTTCTACGCAAGACACGATGTCCTTGGACTACAAGATCCCTGAATGGGCAGTAGTTGTAACTATTACACAACTATGCAAGGATTCTCTGTAGATCAAAATATAAAAATTCGAAATTTATAGAAATATTCAGAGGAAGATAACGTGTTGTAATGTAATCGATTGCAGATCGGGAAGTATAATTTAGGAAGCGGACATTGACTCAATAAAACAGCCTTGAAAACTATGAGAGCGTGACTACGATCGCGTTGCTTGCTGCATACGCCATCCCTGCGACTGCAACTCGCTTGCTACGATAATTATGCATAATATTATATAATGCAACCACGAAATGGAGATTCGTTTATTATGAATTTATTACCTAGTAACACAAACAAGTAAAAGAAATGACTTGCTTGTAAAATATGAATAGCGTACAATACTTCGTTTTATGAATACTTTTGATTAAGAATTATCTATCTAAATTTTATGTGAAAAATAAAATTTGGAATGCAATAACGAAAATATTAATACGTATGCACCACAAAAGATATATGCATCAAACTTATAAAACAGATACGAGTAAAGAATTCGAGGACGAGAAAGGTGCGGAGAGACGAAGAGGAAAGAAGAGAGCGAACAAGGAGAGAGAAGGCGGATGCGCGCGCAACCGCTCGATTCCGTTGCCGCATCAACCGGTGTATCTTGACGCTAGAGATAGCCACGCCCAGACTCCTATCGGTTCAACTAAATTTTCTCTTCTAATTAGACAGCGCATTCTCTTATCTTTTTCTTCGAAAAATATATCATAGATTTCATGGTATAACGATAAGCAGAAGAAAATATATGAAACGCTTGATAATAACGCATCGTTGGGAACGCGGGTCGATGGAAAAAAACCGTTAAGAACGCTTACCGGCCGGCAAGCTTCTGTCGCCATGACAGGTCTTCGACCGAGCGAGGTTGCCGTTTTCTCGCATACCAACCGCGCCGTGTACTTTGTGCATCGTACTGTTCGTTAAATTATAATGGTTTAACTATTGGAAAATGGGAAATGTTGTTTATCGCGATATGTCCTTGTAACACGATATGCCCCTAAGAATAGCTATTATATACATGTATAGTACATATAAATAATTTTAACTAGGACTGATTTTCCGCCCGTTAGTAGCTCGAAACTTGCTTTTCCTACTTGTTACGATACGAAGAGAATTGAACAACTACAAACAGCAGAATGCCGTGGGAACTGGATCGAAGGTGTTAGTCGTCAGTTGCTAGCTATGGTGTCGAACAAAGGAAGCGTTCACTTTCCACGCGGTCAAGAATTCAATTATTACGAAAAAATCTTTTCTAACACTTACCTTTGCGCCAATTTGGTTACCGCACTGGCCGGCTTGAATATGGACGATTTCTCTCATGTTGCTCGGTAGTTTCTTGGACTTTTACGAAGCTTACTGCGATTACTGAACCAACAACGAAGTACACGCCAACTCGTCACGAGAGCCCAGAAACGAATATGCCCTGGCAGCGGCGTCCGTTACAGATTTTCTAGCATCGTCGCGACCGCGGTGGGGCAAAGGGGGGCGTCCCCAGCGACGCTTTCCATTGGTTGGCACCCGAGCCCCGCCGCTTTTTCACCAGCCAGCGTTTGCAGCGTTGCCAACTGCTCCCTCGATTCTGCGCTTGGTGGAGCTTCAGCTCCTACGGATGTGACATCGTCGAAAATTTCGATTCGCCAAAATTGCAGACCAACACTCTCGGCCCACGAGTTCGACCTCCTTCTTTGATTCTCTCTCGAGAATTGTCTCCTTATTAAAGAGAAAAAGATCAATGTTATAAATATCACGAATACAAGAACGATTTTCGTCTAATTTGAACCCATACAAATAAATATATTCGCCAATTCTTTTAGAGAAAAAAATTCTCGAGAACGCTATCGATTAGCAAGGGAGATTAATGCGGTTGGCATTGAAACACGTCTTTATTACAAACACGCAGAATACATTACAGTTTAGCTTATTCGTCCATGGTTACCAATTTAAAAATTACCGTTAGGCTAACGAAGTTTCTAACGAAGTTTGTGCACGTATAACTCATTTCTAACATCTTTAAATTATCTTTCACAGCGAATTAGAATAAATTGGTCATTGATTCCCGTATAAAGACGGACTGTTTTGAACAGTGTTTTGTTTGAACGTACTCATTACTAGTCTATTCATATACATAAGTGCATTGCTGTATTCATCTTTTCATATATCAACCACAAATTCGTCTTATTCGAAACATTTACACTCTTTGCTGAATTCGTTTCATCGTGGCCTTCTTCACCCTTACCTACGGTTCACCTTAAATCTACCCCGCTTATCCTACCCTGGCCGGGAGAAAAGTCGATACATGAGTCACCGACGTAGTACACGCCCACCTAAATGTTGCGGATTTAATGAAAAAAATTTTATTCCCTATTTTTTCGTACCTTTCGTTATATTTCTCGTATTTTTACACGTTCCGAAGATTTAGTTTTACTTCTTTACCCGGTAATGCGTAAATATGTTTGTATTTTTCATATATATTTCGATGTACATATAAATAGGATAGTGCGAAAAGGTACGTTCGTTGATTAAGAATCGAGCGCATGTAAACGAAGCGTGGAGAGCGCATAGAAATAGTGGTGTGCGTAGACGCGTGTCGAGCACGCACAACGAACGTCTGTAAATCTGTAAGTATGTTAGTATGTATGTACATCGGTAATCGGTAGAAACAGGAGTCGAGAGAGAACGATCGGAGCCAGGATAGGCAGGTAGGGTTGGTTACGCGTTGCAAGTTACAACGCGTAAGCCACTCTTCTCACCGTTACCATGTATGGATCACTCGGTCTTCGTTTCGAAGGAAAAAATCAGCTACGATCGCGTACACGCCCGCGCATTTACCTGTGTGCATTGTACGCGTTCGTTCGCGCATTGATAGACATGCGTTCGTGTACATACGTAACGGGGTTGCCACGAACGGCAGATCACATTTATTATCGATGCAAATTCCAATCAAGAGGAGCGGAGTGTTTACCTCCGGTATAGTTCCTTCGCGCGTCTCCTCACAATGCAACGCGTTCATTCTATTCCATTCAAATTTCATTTGTTGTTCGTTTTCGTCGATGATCACAGTTGTCCGATAACAGTAAATATTCTCTAAGAAAACGTCACGAGCTTGAGACTCGATCGTGACAACTTCCGATAAGAGGGTTTTTAAAACGATCGAATGAAAAATATAAAAATTCAAGCGTTCTCATTGTAATGACTCATTGGTTTGTTTATCATGGATGATAGATAAAATCATAGTTGAGCTTTGATCGAACAATAATTAATTAAGAAATGAAAGAAAGGAAAAATCAGTAGATTGTATAAATCACTTGTCAGCCTTACGAAGGGTTGCGTATGTTACGTATCCTTTAACTGAATCCAGAGAGCAAGGATTCGATGTTCTCCATTCTTGTTGTCCTTCGTTAGTTGCAGAGACTCTACGAATACATATAAACGATCGATGACATCACAAGCAATTTAGACGAACCGAGACGCTGCGCTCACGTTCTTGCATGAACAAAAAAGAATGTTCCGCCTCGTTACTACCTATCATGGATCGTGTCATCTCGATAATTGACGCTCGATCTGAGCTGTTATTTAAAAACGTTTTATCACTGGGAGCTTACAAAAAAATGAATGACGTTTGCTGCTAGATAGGCAATCGTTCGCTATTTTTCTCTGAACGAAAAGTTTTCGCTAACAATAAGCCTCACTGGCTAAAAAATATATCCAAAACGTATCCTGGAAATTATCTCGTATCGGAGCACTTGAGGTCGTTAACGCGATAAGAGTGAATCACGATCTGTTCAGCAAATCTTGCCTCGACCGTTGATTTTTATCGAGCGCCGATATAAGAGACGAATTTACGAGAAACGTTGTCCTTTCGTGATAGCAATGAACGCAATATTTCGTATGCGTGTCAAAAAGGGGTGGCTCTGAGTCACAATACCGTCGACCTTCCAAAGCGTAATCTCACCCTCGTCTGACCAGTCGATTAGAAATATAGAAGCTACTCAAATAGGTCGCGTTCAATCTCTTCGATAAAAGTATGATTTTTCTTAATCTATAGATCGATTAATTGCACGAGAAGAGTAAAAGTTGAGAAAATTTTCTGCTTAATTTACGTGTTTCGAAGTGGTTTTGAGGGAACCGAGACGGAACGACGCGACGGCCACGCCAAACCTTGCCCCGCCTCAACTTTTATTGATCCCGAGGACGTCGTGCACGATGGATACGTCTAAATATTTCCGCACCCGTATATCCGTATCGACGGGTTTCGATTACCACGGCTAATATTCTCGAAAGTGACGCTGGTATCTGCTAGGTTTTGCATTTATGCATTCCCAACGTGTTCACTGCTACTACAGTAGATATAGCCATGTCGTAATTTTGGTTCCTTCTCTGTGAAACTAACCATAGAGACTACATTTTAAACATTCAGAATAACCGGGTCGGTTTGTTTTACAGGAACGGGGGTGTCCAAACGGTATCGAGGACAAGATTTTGACACACGACCACTTTCTCGAACGATCTCGAACGATACGGGTCTGAAAACGAGTAACAACGGAGCCACAAGTTGCCGTAAATGGTATCATTTTCTACTTCGGAGGACAGCATGCGAGGTACATCAGGGTAAAGCCATGAACGAGGAGAATCGAGTCGATAACGGTAGCTTCGAAATCTGATTGTGAGTCACGCAGTCCTGTTTCTCGATTGTGTTACTACTTTCCCTCCACCTCTCGTACCTTTCCTTCCTCCACTTTCCTTCGCTTCATTTCCACCCTGTGTTCAATTAGGCACCACCGTTCATCCATCGTCACCATATGTAAACGAACTCACCGCGTGTAAATCAATAACTTGTCGATTGACTGGAAGAAATATTGCATGCGCAAGCATGTTTGCAATTCGCAGTCGATGCATAGTGTGGCATAGCGATGGCGATGGCGACGGTGATGCATCGCACGGTACGGGCAGCTATAACGCAGGAAATAATTTAGTAAGTAATAATGTTACGTGTGGCTCGAGAATATCCAATTTTGCGACAGGCTGGTTTATTGAGCAACAGCTTGCGATGATGTCATGGCGATACCATGATTCGTTTCCAAAACGGGAAAGACATTTACATATTTGGGTTGTGGTTATTCCTACCCCAAACAAAATTGCTTTATTGTCACAACGAAAAGATAGACATTTCTGCTTCAATCGCATTCGACAATTTGTACTCTTTTTCAGAAATCGGACAAACCTTTGATATTCGCACCAAGTTGCTTACAGACATCCTTTTTTCCCATTTATTCTTCATTTTTATTTCTGACAACAAACAGATAACACAAAATAGTACATCCAGTGTAAAAAAAAAATTACAGAAAAGAGAAAACGGAAGAGAAAAAAGGAGGCAATAGAGGAGAGAACGAAAAGAATAAAAACAGGTTTACATGATCGAATCACGAGGCAGTCTACCCATATTTGGCCAGGTCCGCTGCATTTTATACGTTGCCTCTTCTAATCGTTTTTCCTTCGTCCTTTGCACCGATAAGTTGTTGATCGATGTTTCGCAGAAGCGTGGCAATTTCATACATGTAGGTACTGCAGAAAATGCATGACAAGCGTAACGCGATAAAGATATGTGTGTCGCAGAGTGTTGGAACTCAGCGCCGATAATTTCAGTTGCCAGTCTAAAGTGGAACAGTAATCAGGCGAAGCGAAATAATAAATTATCCAACGAAAGATGCGATGGTTTCTCGAGGTCACGAGGCCATTCCTGTGTCATAGAATTTGTTAACTTGTCATTTTAATTAGCTTACGTACGAGTAATCCAGATCAGAGCCGAATACTTTTGGCTCGATCCTCGATCGGACGCTGTTTTTCGTCTCAACTCTAAAGGAGCTCGTATAATAAGTAGCACAAGACCACTTTCTATCTGCATGCAGATAATCTTCCAATGCAAATCCTCGAAACATTTCTTCTTACACTCTTCTTACGTTCTACATTATGCCCTTAACGTACGTAGACATATTTTTAATCGACGATTAAGCTAGTCGAGCAATTAATTACTTTCTTTAATGCAATCTTACAAGAGCCCCGATTTATATCATTTATTATGGGAAATAAAATACGCTTTGCGCGGTTGCTTGGCGAATTGATCTTTTGGGGCGTAGCCGAGACGAGGAAGAAGATCGATTTTCGTCCGAAGCGCATTGCGGATATTTCGGATGGGCGGTTCTTCGCGTTTGTACGGATTCTACTATTCGGTATTCCATGCTCGTTCTTTCTTTTTCCTCTTCGTTTACTTCATTTTTTTCTTGTTCTTTTCGTCAAGTCAATCGTATATTGATCTGCACTTTCTCAGACAACACGATTAATCAGGCACTGCTATACCATAATCAAGTATTAAATATTCATAACGCACCTACTTATCAAATCCAAAATATGATTACGAATTTGGAGAACTGTGACTTATGA